TTTATTGTTAGGTGCTATTGAGTTAGGTCAGACTCATAGGAACCCTCTGTACAGAGGAATGAAATTCTACCTGACCCTGAGCTGAACTCACAACCACTGATAAACTTAAGCCATTCTTGTAGACACTGAGTCAAGCCAGCGTGTTGAAGGTCTCCCTCTCTATTAGAACTGCAGAGCCCTTTCCTTCCTCTCCCAGGATAGCTACTGAGAGAATCCAATCACAGGACAGCAGTTGTGTTTTTTCTCTCTGTGAAACTATCCTATCTCCCTTTTTCAAGGACTAGTTACCTGAGACCCTAGCCTACTTCCCTATCTTGATCTGTTAGCATCCCCTTCCCCAAGACCCTTTTAAGAAAGGTCTTCTGCTTGAGAGCCAGCCCCCAGCAGTCTCTCCTCAATAAACCGTCTTTCTTCACAGTGCACTGAGTTCTGTCCTTCCGTGCTGACCTTATACTCTCCATCACTGATTTTTCACCTTTCTAAGCATTATTCCCTTTTCTAGGGGCTGGAAGCTCTTGACAGCATTTCCAAAAAAAAAAAAAAAGTGAGATGAAGACTCGTTTCTTCTCTTTAAGGAGAACTCTGGCTGCACCACTTCTAACAGATTTGTCTCTCCTTTCTTTCATTATATATCCACTAGTCATTGGGTTGGCTATCCAATGCAGACAGGGAGTGGGTGGAGCTCCCCGATTAAAACAAGCCTCGGAGGAGGAGAGGCATCCACTTCCATAATAGCTTGCCTCTGGAAACCCTATGAACCTGGAGAGAGGTTGAAAGACACCCAAGGTTGGGGACTCTCCTTCATAGGGTTGCCTACCACTAGAGGGCACTTAACAACAACAACAACAACAACAACAGTCATTGTCAGCACCACAACTTAAAGACATTAATTCTTCTTCAGTCTTCACTATTCATTGCTTACCTTTCATATGTATATGAAGCAATGAAAATTACTATAGCTTGGGTCAGATATATCTTAGTATTAAATCTGACATCCTCATTTTTTATTGATAGTTTTAGGATCCTTGATGTACTGTCTTGTAATGACTATAAAGATTCTAACTTAAATGTTATAGTACTTTGAATTTATCTTGCATATTTATAACTAAAGTCTTACATTAAAATTTGACAAATATTAGCAGTTTGCAAAATAATATTTAAGATATAAACATTGAAAGTGGTAAAAACTTCTCTTTATTAGTAGTACATTTCATACAGTTAGTATGGTATAGTTTAGGATGTTAGAAAATAAACCAGCACTCCAGTCATCTCAAAAGTAAGATTACTTCTTTCAATTCTTTATTTATGATTCAGGTGCCAATGTGATTAAAACCTAAAAGTAAGATGAACCCAGAGGAATTCTCACTCTTCAGATCAAGAAAAATCTTTGACAATATCATCACCAATATTGTTTATAATTAATCTGACAGACAGCTCAGAGCTTATGGGAGATGAAGTCCATGAGTCTTCATCATTTTAAAGAGTGAGAATTAATACCTGTTCATTTAAGTAATGGTGGTGATATATAAATACAGACATAAATCCCGCAGGAAAAAAATCAGCATTCAATTGACCATATGCATCATTCTGTAGTTTTCTAAGCTTTGATTTTTCTTTCTTAGAAAAGAAAAGCTGAATAAGGTATTTAAATTCACAGGACATAATGTTAAATTCTGAAATAAAAAAAAATAGGCCAAGAAGTGAGAAAATAAGTATCTTAATAAATTTTTTTTAAAAATCGCTTTCTACTTTATCATGATACGAGAGTCTCTGCCAATGAATGTATACCAGTAGTGTCAAGGTAACAGTCTTAAAGGATCAGTTTATAAATAAGGTCATCATTCACCTAAATACATTTTTACTATCCTTCAACAGAAAATTAAAAAATAACTTTAAAAACTCACAGAAGAAAAATATAATATAGACTTTGTAGAAAATGAAATAAAATACGAGTTTGTCCCTTCCTAAAAAAAAACCACAAAAATAACTTGAGAACTCAGAGTAAGCTTGGTTTGTTTATGTTGTGTTTTTTTCTCTCTCTTATGATGATGAGGATATTATCTTATTTAGTAAATTTTGTTACACATATTCAGAAATATTGCTAGGACACTGTAACAAAAAATGAGAAAGATTTGAGGGAAAAACATCAAGAAGACATTTTAGTGTTGGAAGTCTGTCTTTACCTATTGACTTATCACAGATTTCTTTTTCAATGAAATATGATTTTACTTGGTATCTCTCTCTCATTGCTTTCAAGGTGGAATTGATTCATAATTGACCCAGTCTCTGGTTTTCAGAGGCTGAATATTGCACAGGAAGAGATTGCTCATCTTTCTTCCGCAGAGGAACTAAAGAATTTGTCTCAATTATGTATGAATTGCATAACTATATTCACTAGGACATGTTGTTGTTAGGTGCCAATGAGTCAACTATGACTCACAGAGATGAGAGGTCTAAATCTTGTCCTGTGTTGCGGCATCCTCACCATCCTGTCACACTGTACTCATTGTGATAAACACTGTACAAAATTCATAGTGTTTAGGGTGTTACTCTCCTTCTCTGATCCTCTACTTTTCCCAACATGATGTTTTTATTCAAGAACTGCTTTCTCCTGAAAATATACCCAAAATAAGTGAGATGCAGTTTCACCATCTTTGTCACTAAAGAACATTCTGATTGCACTTCAAGGAAAATTTTGTTTTCTCTCTTTTTTCAGTTCAGGTATACTTCAAGAGATTGATTCTATTTCAATCTTCTTTATTCATTGTTAAACAATTCAAAATACCATGGTTTGGGTCATGTACTTTAGTCTTTAAACAGATATCCTTGATTTTTACAACTTGGGAGAAATCTTGGATCTTGGACAGCAGATTTTCCCAATTCAATAAAGTTTTGATCTTTATTGCTGCTCTCATGGGTGTTAATTGCTGATCCAACTAAAGTGAAACCATTGACAACTTCAATCTTTTTCTCTATCACAATGTAGCCTATTGTTCCAGTGGTAGGATTTTTGTTTTCTAGATATTTGAGTAAAGCCCAGGTTGAAAGCTGTTTTCTATAATCTTCTTTCCAGACTAAGATAAGAAGAAGAATTGGCCATTCACTCCTGACATAAAGGGCTGTAAAAGACTTTATTATGGTCAACAGAAAAATAATGTTGGATATAGTACTGAAAGATGGACTTCTGAGGCACCAGGAAAGAGCTTCCTCTTAAAAAGAGAGTCTACTGTAAATGATGGGCATCAAAAGCTTTCACCAAGTGAAGGGCCTTCATCTGCTGATGAGGCAGGATTCAAATTGAGAAGAAAAAGCTAAAGACAATAATTGAGTTGTGAGATGTTAGAAGTATCAGTCTAGTAAAATTGGAAGTTGTCAAAAATGAAATGGAACACATAAAAATGAGATATCTTAGGGATTAGCAAGTGAAAACGGACTGGTATTGGCCAGATATTTGAATCAGTTAATAATGTATTATTGCAGAAAATTAAATAGGAGTGACATGACTGTCACTGGGAAAGAATATTTCAAGAACTTTCTTGAAATGTGCTTTTGGGAGTGATAGGATAGTGTCCACACACATACAAGGAAGTTTTGCTAATATTATCATTATTCAAATATCCATACCGACTACTAAACCCAAAGAATGAAGAAATCTTTGGCAGAGGATTTCTACCAATATTTGCAACCTGAAACGGATCAAATATGCAATCAAAATTCATTCATAATAACTAGCAATTGTAAAGCAATAGTGAAAAACAAAGAGGAACTGGTAGTTGGAAAATGTGGTGTTTGTTTTCATGACGTTGAGATGTAATCCATATTGAAGGCTGCAGTCCTTGATATTCTGTAGCAAAGTCTTCAAGTCCTCCTCAGTTTTAGTGAGCAAGGTGGTATCATCTACATAACATAAGTGTTGATGAATCTTCTCTAATCCTGATGTCACATTCTTCTTCATAAAGTCCAGCCTCCCAAATGATCTGTTCAACATAAAGATTGAAAAGGTGTGGAGACACGACACATCCCTGATATACTCCTTTCTTGTTTTTGAACCACGCAGTGTTCCCTTGCTTTGTTCCTACAACAGCTTCCTGATCTAGGTATAGAATTGCACATGAGGACAATCAAGTATTCTGGGATTCCGATTCTTCTCAATGTTACCCACGATTTGTTGTGGTCCACACGGTTTAATGCATTTGCATAATGAATAAAACACAGATAGACATCATTTTGGTACTCTTCTTTGAGCCAAGATCCATCAGACTCTGGCAATATCCCTAATACCATGGTCTCTTCTAAACCCTGCTTCTATTTGTGTAAATTCATGTTAATGCACTATTCTAGACATTTTTTGTAATTTCTTCAGTAATGTTTTGCTTGCATGTGATATGAGCAATATTGTTCAATAATTTTCACATTCTGTTGAATCATTTTTTTTTTTAATGGGCATAAAAATGTATCTCTTCCTATCAGTTGGCCAGGTAAACTATCAGGTTTCTTGGCACACTCTGCTGAACATATCAAAGACTGTATCTGTTATTGTTCCTGGGGCCTTATTTTTTGCTAATTCCTTTAACAACTTTAACTTCCTCTTTTGTTACTATTGGTTCTTATGCTACTTCATGAAATAGAGCTGTGTAAGCTAGTTCTTTTGGCACAATGACTTGTGTGTTCCTTCAATCTTCTATTGATGATTCCTGGATCATTCAGTATTTTGTCTGTGGTAGTTTCAAGCATTGCAAGTGGAGACTGGAATTTGTTCAATTCATTTAGCTTGAGAAATGCTAAATGAGTTCTTCCCTTTTGGTTTTCTGTTTTCAGCTCTTTTCACATTTTGTTACAATTCTTTTATTTTGTCTTCCCAAGCTGCCCTTTGAAATATCCAACTTTAGATGTGCCATGACATTGGGAGCAGCGGCAGGTCCTGTGGGGCTTGAGTCGCTCTAACCCCTCCCCCAGAAAGCCATCGCAGACGCTGAGTGCCTGCTCCGCGGTAACTAACCATGTGCGACCGAAAGGCAGTGATCAAAAATGCAGACATGTCGGAGGAGATGCAACAGGACTCAGTGGACTGCGCCACCCAGGCACTGGAGAAATACAACATCGAGAAGGACATTGTGGCCCACATCAAGAAGGAGTTTCACAAGAAGTACAACCCCACCTGGCACTGCATCGTGGGAAGAAACTTGGGTAGTTATGTGACACATGAAACCAAGCACTTTATCTACTTCTACCTGGGCCAAGTTTCCATTCTTCTGTTCAAATCTGGTTAAAGCATGGACTGTGCCCACACACCCAGTGATCCACCCAAAAACAAGGACTGCAGCCTAAATTCCAAATACCAGAGACTGAAATCTTCAGCCTTGCTAAGAGAACGCCTCCATCTTTGAACCTTTGTTGTGTTTTGTACAGGACCTTCCTCTGTACCAGTTTGTTGTGGTTATAAAGCAATTAGCAAATCAGCTTACATTTATATTTATTTTCTATCCCATACTTTTCTCTGCTTCATGTTTTTTCTTTCCTCACAATCCATTAAAAAATAACCAAAAAAAAAGAAATATTCAACTTCGTTTTTAAAATTTTCTCCATTTTAACTGTCAGTATCTTCTAATTTCTTTATGGACAGTAAAGCTCTTCTGTTACTGTTACTATAATCTACAATCAATTTAATAGTAATTAAATATGTTTATGTAATACATGTAAAAAGAGTACTAGTGATGTGGGAGAAGCTGGTTCTGACCTCCACTAACTCTGTAATGGTAGGGGAGGCCACATTAATAACATCCACAGCACAAAACTGATGCCCATGAAGTCAGAGCCATGATCCCTACATCTAATTTTATCAATTCTAACACAAATTCTTCCTTGTATTTGTCTTCCTACTACTCTGCTACTTGTTCAGCTGATTATTGCAATGGTTATACAGAATTTACAGAATCATCCTCACAATAGTGGAGTTTAATAGGGGAATTAACAGGTTAAAATCCATATTAGAAACAAGATGCAATTCTTTAGCCAGGACAGCATCTCAGAGGTGATTTCAAGCCCTTTGACCTTCAGACATGTCTTTTTAAAAATATTAATATTTTTATCATTAATTTACATTGTGTTTCATGCATATGCATGTAACATTCTTTTCCATACAGTCCTTCACTGACATATTTCATTCATGCAAATAGTGGCTTTGTTATATGTTCTCCTGTTGCCACATTCTTCTTCAGAGGATTCAACTTTTCAACAAATTCGCTCAGCATACAGATTGAAAAGATTGAAGAGAGGAACCAGTCCTGAAATATATCTTTCTAAATTTTAAGCCGTATAGTGTTCTGTTTGCACAATATCCTCTCAGTTTGTGTATAAGCTTCACATGATTAAAACTGACTGTTTTACGATTTATATTTTTCTCAATGTCAGCCATAATTTGTTAGGATCCCCACAGTCAAATTCTTTTGCATTTTCATTAAAGCACATATAGACATTCTTCTCCTTTACCTTCAGCCAGGATCCCTCTGACATCAGTAATGATATCCTGGATAGCACGATCTCTTCGAAACCCCACTTGAACTTCTGCCTGTTCTCTATCTATGTATTGTTCTAGCCATTTTTTATTGATTTTTAGTATTATTTTGCCTACATAAGATATAAATGAAAGTGTTTAATTATTTCTACATTCTGTTTGATTACCTCTCTTAGGAATGGGAACAATATGGATATCATTCTGTCAGTCAGCAAAGAAACTGTTCTCAAATTTTTCTAGCAAATGGAACAGAATAGAAAACACAGGAATATACCTCTCTTTTTATGGTCAGCTCATATAAAACAAGGAAATAAAACCTATTGAATGGGTAAATGATAACCTCTTCAACAAATGGCCATGACAAAACTGGACTGCTAACTACAGAAAGCTGAAAAAGGATCCACATCTCACACCATACACAAAAATCAACTCAAGGTGGATCAGAGACCTGGAAGGCAAGTCCAAAACCGTAAATCTCGTAAGAGACAAACTAGGACAAAGTGTAGAAAGTCTAGCCTATGGTATAAAGAGACTGACAAATAGAGACATAATTGGAAAATAATTGGAGTGAATAGAATTGGTGAATTGGACTTTCGAAAGATTAAGCCTCTGTGCTCAACAAAACCTTTTTCCAAAAGAAAACCTACTAACTGGGAACAAACATCTGACAAGGGTCTCATAATAAAAGTTTACAGAATACTCCGGGACCTCCAGAAGAAAAAGAATGGTAACCTAATTGCAAAATGGACAAAAGACATGGAAAGACTTTTTACAGAGGAAAACATTCAGGTGGCCAACAGACACATGAAGATATGCTCAAAATCACTGTCAATAAGAGAGATGCAAATCAAAACCACAATGAAATACCATTTCACTTCAGTAACTGCGGCATAGCAAGAAATAAATGTTGGAGAGGATATGGTGAGAAAGGAACTCTTATGGACTGTTGGTGGGATTGTAAGATGGTACAACCACTCTGGAAGACAATTTGGAGTTTCCTCAAAAAGTTGAACGTAGGAAATCTGCATGACGCAGCTATTCCACTATTAGGACTGTACCCCAAGGAAATGAGAACTGAGACACAAATGGATATTTGTGTACCAATGTTCATAATAGTGTTATTCACCATCACATGAACATAGAAACAGACCAAATGTCCAACCACAACCAAATGGATTGAGAAAGTGTGGTATATTCACACAGTGGAATAGTATGCAGCACTCAGTAGCAACACATTAAAAAAAAATACAACAAAACTTGTGAGAGGCTGAAGAGCATTACACTGAGTGAACTAATGCATTCTTATAAGAAAAAATACTGCATAAGACCATTAGTGTAAAGAGAAGGATAACTAGTAAACACGTATGATAACTCCAGGTGTGGAGTTGGTGTGAGGATGGTTAGGGATGAAATCACAGGGTTGCACAGTTTATTGGGTGGAGGTGGAGTAGGGTTAGGAAATGGAAAGGATCCAGATTAAAGGACAGGGTAATGATGGGCAAGGTCCAATGGTGATTAATTATATAAAATACAATACATGAGAATGATTGTATGAAACACAAAGTGAAGAAATAATAGTGTGAAACACAGTGTATATGAAATTTGTAAGCAAACCAGTAAAACAGATCCAATCACAATGGAAAGGATTGAGAAATTATGGTATGTTCACACAATGGAATGCTCTGCAGTATGCAGGAACAATGATTTATTTTTTATTTTTTTTTGTAAATTACTACCTAATTTGGGAGGGACTGGAGAGGAAGATATTCAAATGGTAAACAGACACATGAAGAAATGCTCATAATCACTGACAATAAGAGAGATGCAAATCAAAACCACAATGAGATACCATATCATTCCAGTAACAATGGCAAAGTGTAACAGGGAAGCAAGTGATAAATGTTGGAGAGGATGTGGCAAGAAAGGAACTCTTGTACATTGTTGGTGGGATTGTAAAATGGTACAACCATTCTGGAAGACAGTTTGATGCTTCCTCAAAAATGCTGAGCACATTCTTAGGATGATGACTTGTGATCCTTAAGATACATGACTTGAAAGCATGTAACAATAACAGCAATATTTTAGGTAATATTTGGCATTATAAAATTTTAAATGTTGAATTTCTTACCAAATGCTCAGCAATTTGAACCAAATAGTTGTTTTTTGAGGGAAAATAATTTGGTGATATATATCTGTAAAGAACAGTTTAAGTAACTATTGTATTATGTTATATATATTTCTATGACTAGATATTGTCTCTCACACACAACAAGAATAAACAGAGACATTTTATATGGCGTCGGAGCCTAGAAATTCCATAAAGAAGCAATGTTAGTATTACCAGTTGTCCTTATTTATATTATTGTCATATAAACAAAGATTATACTTGATTCATTAGCATTCTCTCTTTCACAATTTTATCTTTCTGATGTGTATGACCTGTATGAAGTTTTGCATGTCTATTTATTTTTACGTTTGTTTACCTTACTTTCAGATTATGTATAGTTGAAAGCTGAGGTTGGAACTGAGTATTCTTATTTTTTCATAGTTTTCAAATTATTTTACTCTATTATGTCTCATGTTGCCCCTTTCTCTGGCTCCTGAAGATTTAAATCTTAATGGGAGGATATGGGTGTTATATGTCATCATGTCACCTGCATAGTGACCCTATGCACAGTAGTTCTGAACCCTGCCCTATCTTGAGCTAGTTGCACTATATCTGACACACCTAATCGTATTATTCAAATTTCTGTACTAATAAGCTATCTCATCCAGGGTCTCTCTCTCTTACACTGTCCCTCCATTTTCCAACCATGATGTCTTTTCCCAAGGATTGTTCCCTCCTGTTAACATGCCCAGAGTATTTCCACAGAGCTTCACTATCTTTTTCTCTGTTGGGTAACTTGATTTCACCCTCTCCAAGAAAAACCTGTTAGTTTTCTTGGCAGTTCATGGTATGTTCAATAAACTTTTCCAGCACCACAATTCAAAGGCATCGATTCTTCTTCTATCATTGCTTAGTTATTGGCCATGTGAAGACCACGGCCTGGATCAGGTGAACATCAGTCTCTAGAAAGATATCATTGTTCTTTGGCACTCTAGAGTATTCTCTGATAGCAGATTTTCCCAGTGAAATTAATCTTCTGATTTCCTAACTGCTGGTGGTAAAAGAGTTGATTGTGCAGGCAAGCAAGCTATAATTGTTAGTAAGTTCAATTTCTTCTCCATCTATCCTAGTGAGATATCCAGTGATGAGAATCTTTGTTTTCTTGATGTTGAGCTTCAGTACATATTGAAGACTGTACTCTATGACCTACAATCTGCAGCAAATGCTTTAAGTCCTCCTTAGTTTCAGCAAGCATGGTTGTTCCATCTGTATAATGCAGGCTGTTGGTGAGTCTCCCTCAATTTCTGAAGCCATATACTTCCTCATAAAGCCCAGCGTCTCAAGTGATCTGTTCTACATATAGATTGAAAAGGTGTAGGAAAAGGATGCATCCCTAACACACGCTTTTCCTGATTTTGAAGCATACAGTATTTCCTTGCTCTGTTCTATCAGTTGCTCCTGGTTTCACATGAGCACAATTGGGTGTTCTGGGATTCCCATTCTTCTCAAAGTTAGCCACAATTTGTTGTCAGCCACAAAGTCTGCCTAGTCAATCAAAGACAGGGATTCCTTTGGTACTCTCGACTTTCAGTCCAAATGCATCTGACATTGGCTATGATGTTCTAGTGCCGTAGCCTCTTCTAAAATCT